TAACCGTATAAAAAAATTCGGTCTACCGTTTGCTTCTATTTGAAGATAACATCGGAGAGCAATTCGATTTCGCTGAGAGTGAACAAATTGGGGCTGCAGGCCGTCTAGCCGAAGCTTTGAGGCGCCTTTCACTAGTTTTGCCACGTAGCTGCCATGGAAAATGTCATGCTTCCCCTCCTTATGTTCGAGGTATCTAGAATATTATCCATCATCTGACATTCATCTGTGTGAGCATAATCGATGTTGAGATGTTAGCGCGAAATTCGGAAACCGAATCGGGCGAAAATCGAATTTGCCTTAGCGATTAACTGTTCTTTGTATACATTTCAGCTTAATTTTTCTCTTAATCGTATTTTTCTTCTCTTTCTACACTTCTTTTCAATAACTCTCTCTCTCTCTTTTTTCCTCACTCTTTCCTCTATATCTCGCTTCTTAACTTTTTCTCTTTTCGCCTTCGCGTCTGTCTATTTATTTATTTTTTCATTCTTTTTTCTGGACTCTTGGTTGGTCGAAGAAGAAAATAGAAAAATAGAAGAGTTGTTGTTGCGAAGTGTTTTCATTTTTTACTTTTTTTTACTACCTTCGCCTTTTCGGTACTAGCAGAAGATTGAGATGTGATTTTTGTTTCATTCATGGAGCTAAAAAGATGTTATTTCAGCTGAATAATCTGACATTCTACGAAAATAGTATGGAAAACGTAGAAGTTATATCGAATGTATATTTAAGCTAAGTCTATGTTCAGATCTAGTGAAACTGGGATATATAAATGTGACGTAGAAAGATTGTGTTAAAGCATTTTTTTTTTTTTTTTCATCTTTTATTATTATTATTCGTTTTAAAACTAAAGCGAAATTGAAATATAATTTTACGGATCAATCTCTTATTAAAGAATCTCTTTGAGTATAGTTTTAATATAAAATTTCTACGTCGATTTTAAATCTTCTTGATGAAAGGAAACTGTACGTTTAATATCATGTTATTTGACATTTTTGTTTTTTTTTTTAAAAAAAAAAAAAGGTAAATGTGTTCTTTATTTTAATTTCGACGCTTTGCATCTTAGGTTGGCTCTGACCTTTTTCCTCGTTAACGTGTCGATAGTTCGAGAATCGCTTTAAACCTTTAGTTCACGCGATCCGAATTTTTTCAAGGTCCGGTTGTATCAAGTTTAAGTGATAAACAATCTCGTTCGTTTAATAATCGGATGAGACTGCTCTTTCTCTCTCTCTCTCAATATAATATACTGCTATATAAAAATATAATTTATTGAAATTTATCTTGAAATTTTATTTTGATAGAACTTTCGAATATCTTTTTCGAAATTTTTATTTGTAATATTGTTTTTAATTTTTACAGAATTTTACAATTTTTGTAGAATTTTCGCGTGCCAATTTTTATCAATGCAGTACCGAAGAGGTTAACAACATGATTTTACTTTACGATATAATACGATATATATATATATTTTTTTATAATGCTGCTTTTTTAAAACCTTGTTTAAAGTACTAATTCGAGGCACTGCAAAAAAATGCGCTTGCTTTTACTGTATGAACTTGTTATGTTTAAAATGACGTAAGAATTATAATTCCCTTATAAATCATATCAAAGTACAATGAATTATTTACTATATAATGAACATTATTAGATATCTATCTCATCACGTGTTTCTTACGTCATTATAAAAATAAAAAATTTATTTCACAAGTATTGTAAATTAGGATGACGCCATAGATGAGTATTTTTTCAATATTTAAAAGAATAGTAATAGTTAATTGCTATAATCCATTTAATTTTGCAAAAAAATAAAATCTTCAAAATTTTTATTTCATCGTTTTTTTTTCCCCTCAAGATTTTTTCATGGACAACATTATTTATTTATACTATTAATCAATATTTTAAAGTGAATAAATCTTCGTGTTTATCTTTAAAAAAAAAAATCTCTTTTTTTTCTGGCGTGCAAATATTAATAAAAACATATTGTTTGACTAAAATGTTGATTTTTTAAAGGAATATACATATATTACAACGACATATATTACGATGCACAACGAATAGATTAGAAATTTGCTCGTTGAATAAAAATGGAGAATGAAGCTGATTCGAACACGTTTTATAAATTTAACACGATTTATCATTATATATAGATATAACTCTGTCAACTTTAATTCCATTTTACGGATCAATGCACAGTAAAATTAAACAACTCAAAGTTGACCCCACCCTTCTAAGACATAATTTTCACTTAGCTTATTAATCAATACATCCACTATTATCCTACCTATCGCTAACGGAACAACAATTTGCAAAAAAAAAAAGAAAAAGAAAAAGGGAAATAAAACCAACAAAATGTTGTCTACAAAGTTTAAAAAAAATTTCTTTAAAATTAATCCTCCCTCGATAAGTATTTCAATAAAACGTTTTAAAAACGTTTTAATAGAAATATTATCTTCGATACATAAGATCCCGTGTCGATTTACATTTTACAGCGGCCACAGGAACATAATCTTTTATAAGAATTGAAAAGAAAAATCGCACCTCACGTGTCACGTTGATCGTCTCTCTTTCTCTCTCTCTCTCTCTCTCTATGAATGTTTGTTATTTCGTTATAACATTTTACGTTTATAGCATGTGTGTATGTGTTGCTTCTCGGTGCATGTACTGTCACACTCAGGCCGCTGGATGCTATGATGAGTTACCGTGACGCTTGTCACACCACTATGCGATGAAAATGAAGTTGCAAGAATGCTACTGTGAAAATAAATCTTCCTATCATGTGTGTTCTGCAAACCCATCGTGCCCGATGGTAAGAGGTGTCACTTTATTATACTTCGAATTTTTTGATTGAACGAAAATTATTAATTACGTAACGTTGTAGCGCAGTATATGTAACACCTTGTAGTCCTTTTTATCACTATCTTCCTTCTTTTACGACATATCATATCGGTATGTACGATCATTGATAGTATTGTCTCATCGATATATCTCGTAGAAATATTTAGTGCATAATTAAATATAATTTTAGTAATATAATTAATTTTCGTTTCAATTTAAATATTAATTGTGTAATATGTGTATCTCGATTTCTTTATTTTATTATATAATTAATATTGATTAATAGTGGAAAATATTTTAGAGAAAAAGAAAAAGTTTGACGTTTTTATTTAAAATAGAGAAAATTCGAAGAATTATTTAATCACTCTATGACAGTGTCTTAATACAAACGATAATAATTATAATACACCGTTTCGAAGCAAAATTATGCACTAAAGTTTCAGAATATCTCACGTTGTTAATCTTAACCGATATTACATAATCCAAAAACCACTATGTGTCGATATCAAATTGATTTAGTTCCGTATACTAGCGCTTCAATAATAGCAGTTATATTACCCTAGTATATATCACATCCGGTGCAAATCGATCCGATCCGGATAACACGTTTGATCCACTCATATCTCCGTACTTACGAATCCCCTAAACGTAAAAAAGCAACTACTTTGAACCAACCCCAACTTGTGAAAGTGTCATAGCTACTCTCTATAGATGCTTTCCTATTACCATTATTACACCATTAATGTTATCTGAGTAATGATTGCCAAGCAAGTATATTATAATATATATACATATATATACATATATCTTGCATCTTTTTTCTTTCTTTTTTTTTTTTTTCTTTTCTTTTTAATGGTAGTACGTACAAAGAAACAATACGATGCATTTATCTTACACCTTGTATATCTATATATATATATACATACGTATATATATATAAGTTATTATCATGATGTGCTGTACACGATGGCTATTACATATAAAATCGAAATTCGATTTTCGGGGGGAGAATGATCCTGAGAACTACAAGAACGATTCACGGTTTGTTTTCCAGCACGAAGCATATCGGAAGAGTTCAGCAGCGGGGATGCAAGGTATCGTGACAACGGCGAACCAGGACCGGGTAGCGCGCACGGACGTGATCCGCGTTCACCGAAGGAGAAAGAAGATAAAGAAAGAGGTGACGAAGGTATTTCAATATATTTCGTGCGGCTCACCGTCCATGCTCGATCTGTTCATCGATCTCGTTTTCCCTTGTCCGCAGAGATGATCAAGGTGTACGACGGCAACAATTCCCTCAGAAGACGGATATTTCGCGTGATCACGGTGCCCCGGCAAGCCACCACCGAACAGGTCCTGACGTCGGCGCTTCGCGCATTTCACATCACGAGAGATCCTAGTACGTGCGATTGTATTCAATTTTAGATCGCGAAATGCAGCGGTTAATATTCGTTTTATTCCAACACGTGTTTGAACAAAGATCTTGGTATCGTGAATTTGGATCTCAATATTTATGTGATGTGTGTTGGATAGTTTGGATGGAGTTTTGTAATTTTATTGTTCTTCTTTTTTTTTTATCGTTGTTAGAAATTTATTTGTTTAGATTTGGATAGAGAATGGAATAATGGTTAACAAGTAAGGCAAGGAAACGCTAAGGAAGGCTTATCTTTTTAGAAGTAAATTTGCACGCATACGTATAGGTTTCGTCAATAACATTTACGTGAACTCAATCTGTCGGATGTATCTATACGCCCACAGTAACAAAACAGTTGACCATTATATTTTACTCCTACGTAAAGATCAAACTGACAACTGCATACTGAATAGTTTTGTATCAATGGAATTGTTCTTCGTTTCATGCTACGTGTTTTTCTCTCTCTCTCTCTCTCTCTTTCTCTATGCGAACTCAATTAAAACAAGATGGAATTCTATTAATTTTAAACTGTGAACAGTAGTTAGAAATATATATATATATATATACATTTTGCTTTTTTTAATTAAACGCTTTTTTTAATTTTTGAATACATTTGATCTATAATTGTTGAACAAACAGTTAAAAATACATTGAAAGTAAATAAATTTGAACTTTATTGTATACTCGTAATATTATGATCTACGCGGAAAGATCGTTTGAAATTTAACATTGGTATCAATATCTTCCTATTATTTGTTTTATGTTTAAGTTTAACGTTATATTGAAATTTGCTTATCGATTCAGGCAACTTTTACCTCACCGACGTGTACGCCACCGATGAAACCGAATTATGCGATCCAAATCCGGTTCTAAACTTGAATCGAAAAGAGGGCAAACGTCCGGCTGTCTTCTTACGGTTCAAGTAAGTTTCCAATCCGAAGAAACTTTCTAACGTTTTTGACGTAATCGAATAGAAGGAAATTTCGATTTCTCAATTCCAGGGATAGCGAAAGCGGAGAGGTACGCGTCTATCCGGGCAAATTGCAGGTGTCAGAGTCGTTCTGTATAGTACCTGTCACAGAGGCGACAACGATCGCGGATTTGATCGAGGAAGCGCTTCAAAAGTTCGGTTTGCAAAATTTTAAATCGGAAGATTACAGATGCAGCGAGATTCTTCTGGATCATGGTGGTAAATTCCTTTTTAATTCGCCCAGAAATTAGAAATGAAATAGAGTTTTATTTTTCTATTTTACAACGATATAGTAAAGTAAATATCGAATTTCCCCAGTCACCGAAAGAGTTTTGTGCCGCGACGAGAAGCCGTGGGAAATCGTGAAGCAGCTTGGCAAAGATTCGATCAGGCAAATGGAATTGATGCGATTTTACCTTCAGCTTAAACAGGATCCCCATGGACCCAATTTAGCTTTGTTCGTGGGAAATTTGCCGCCAAATCTCTCCGAAAGGAGTTACGAAAACATGTTGACCGAATTCTTAGGCAAAGGTGAACATGATAAAATCATATAATATAATGATTGGCAATCAACCTGTGCATAATAACTGGTGAACTGTTTGTAGAAAATAAATTCTCATCTATCGGTCCAATATACTACGAGTACGGCTCGATGGTGATCATTTACGAGGACTCGAACAAGGCTGTTACAGCGTTGTACACGTTAAGAGAATCAAAATACGAGGACAAACATCTTTTAGGTACATTGTCCAACAATCCATAACAATCCTCCAATTATTTCACTTCACGAAGTATTACGCGTCATTTTTATTATTTCTTGATTATACAGTTATGCTGTTACCAAGTATCGAGCCGAGCATGGTGCCTCCAGGTGTGCAACCTTTACTCGTCTTCGTGAACGTGAAATCTGGCGGTTGCCAAGGGCTTCAATTGATCTCCAGCTTTCGAAAACTTTTGAATCCGTATCAGGTGTTCGATCTCGACAATGGAGGTCCGCTTCCTGGGTGTGTAAAAAATTATAATATAAAAATTATAATAATTTTCGTATGACATGTCATGTTCAATCGGTGATATATATATATATA